CAAAATATGACTATGTGTACGATTAAAGTTATTCTTTATCCATTTGTTTTCCCTAACATTCTTGCCTTTTATTTGCTCCCTAAAGTAATGAGCATATTTTGAAGCCAATATAAACAATAACATAGATGTAAATATTGCCACGGAGGCATCACAATAAATGTGACATTCGGAATAATTCATTCAAGGTGCCTAGATCACAATTTAAATCCTTTCCCAATTTTAACCAAGGCTTCCGTCACAGATGCACTTAAGCCAAGGTGTACAGCTTCATGCTAGGCTGGTAATCCACGCTAACTAGGAAATAAATTTTCAGTGATTAAGTTGAATTGTTCGTACAAAACGCCAGCTTCAGCCTTTCACCCATACAAAATAGCTTGGAAAATATATACTGCATGTGTTTATTATAGCTACAGTTGCTATGAACATCTATAACTCTCCAACAATTTCTTTGATTTATGTTCAAAAACATACAGGGCATGAAATGATGCCTGCAACCTTACATTTCCCTCAAGAACATTGTGGGGAGAAGATATATTCCAAAACATCATGTTCGATTCCTTGTTATGTCTCCTTTTTAAAATAAATGTATGATAATCAATTACACATGCTTCAAAGCAACTGCCACTAGATTCCCCAACAGAAAAGCTGTTTGAGAAAAGTTCCATTTCCCTTTCCCCTAATGGCTGAGTTACAATAAGAGATCATATTCAGATATTAAAAGCAGAAATCGTGTTACAAAGGATGGGCCCTGCTCAGCCTGTATATGCACATACAGCAGCATGCGTGCCCAGACTTGACTCAGGACAAGGTTTTCAGCAAAGGAATATCTCCACCGATCAGCACGCCGACACAGGCACACACGTGTGAAGCACTCGCATGAAGAAATCCAGTTGATTTCAACAGAATGAAACAGGCAGAAAGCTAAAGTGTCAGGCTTGGCTTTCCCTTCAACCCCAATATGCAGAGCATTCCTTTAAGAAGTCCATCCCACTGAAGCTTCCGCTAGGAACACAAATCTGCAAGTGCTGCTACCAACATCAACAAAGCTGAATAGCACCTCTGCTGTCAATGCTGGCGCACATAAGATTTGACTCTCCAGACCCGCCTGAACTCCATGAAAAGGTTGAAGAGAGCATTTACCCCGAGTATTGTAGAGAATGGGCTGTGTGCCATCAACAGGAATGTACAATAAGGGTTTCAACTCCACAACTCAGCACAGGGGGCGAAGGCAGCATCTTTCCTGTGATGGGGTGGTTTCCCCATCTGAGCAGGCAGGAGTGCCTGACTCAGAAAATGTCAGGACCTTTTGCCTTCCTGCACCAGATCCTTGTGCTGCCTTCATCCCAAGAGACAGCTCCCATTCCCCATAGCCCAGGGCTAAGTTGCACTGCAAACAGCTTGGGACCCAGGCTGGGTGGGACATACCCCTCCAAGCAGGGCTGACTCCTACTGGCACCCAGTTTAGAGCAAATATGGGATAAGATTGATTCGAGACTCGTTTCAAATAAAGCATGGCTCTGATCATCAGTGCAAGAGTGCAAAATGCACATGCCCAATATGGAAAGAGAAATAAATTCACTCACTACACCCATTTTTTCTGTCTTTCTTTGAATCAAACCCTCAGGGATTAAAAACAAGAGAGAAAATACTCGCATGCGCCCCCTTAAATACAGCACTACCATACCCATTAGTAATGAGGTCTTCAAGGAGGAGGGGAGTTTACTGGATGTGCCCAAACAGCCCCGGCTAGATAGCATCAACAGTTGTTCTCCTATTTTCACAGCAGGAAATAAGCAGGTACTGGCCGTATAGGAAGAATCCAGAGGAATCTAGGTCAAAATCAAAGCAAGACTGCTCTGTCCATTTGACAAAACTCACAAGCATACACAATACCAATGCAAAAACAAAGAACTGGCTTGTAATGCTATCTCTCTTAAGATTGCTAAATAAGTGTGCAAACATTGAACTACTTGGAGTGAAGACAACATTCCTTTTGTGCGACTTCTGAAAAGGCATTTAAAAATCAATCTAAAACTGCAATATTAGGAAATTTTAAAAGCATTATTTCAAACAGGCAGACTTGAAAGGGTCTCTTGTTCACGAGTAAATCTGCAGTTAGTTTTTCTAGTACTGGTGGTTCAATCGAAAGATTCGCCAACTGCCCCCTGGAGAAAACCGAAGATCTGCATTTAAATGGAGATATAGTATTTCCAAATGCACAGTACCTGGAAGGCAGATACTGTCAAGGTTTCTTAGTGAGTGGATCTCAAATTGTATTAGGTACATTTCAGTGCTGTAACTATCCCCATTCCGCAGGACTGGGACTATTTCCATATCATTTTGCCACGTGCGTGCTTTGTAATATTTGTCCTGATAAGCCAAAATTAAACCCCCATCTGCAACACAGCCTTCACAGACTAACAAGGAATTACAGCCGTATAAATAATTTTCTGATACGCACAATGAAGACGATATTAGATAGCTCGGCTAGAAATCTTAAATAATTGAAAAGTATGATGACTTAATAGAGTAGTAAGCTTGGTTTACAACACAGCCAATTTAGAGTCATAAAAACACTGTGTAAAATTTTTATCTTGTGGTTGACCATTACATATCCTATTTATTATTCCAAAGTATTTCAACAGCATTTTTTCTTCATTAATGCGGCTGCTGGCATTTAGCACCCACTCTCTCCATGCACGTGATTTTCCTGGAACAGCTTTAAGAAAAGAAAACAAAAACGGAGCAGACCACTACGGGGCTGTTCCTCGGTACAATGTGCATCTTTTCACAATCTGACTCGAACTGGCTTCACAGGCTGTAAAATACACTCAAAACCTCTGAGACTTAAATATAATTAATCAAAGCCATAGACGTAAAGTTAAAAGGTGCAGTGTGACTACTGATCCCGACACAACAGCAAACGAGGAAAAAAATAAATTAAAAAAAAAAATCAGACTTCATGAATACTTTGTTGCTAATGCACAGCAGCTCAAAGAGCGGTGATCCTTTTAGGAAAACACCTTAATTTTCATCTTGGAAAATCATAATAACCTTCCAGAAAAGTTTTTGCGAGTACATAACGTGGGGAGAGCAAAGGTTTAGAGTGCAAAAGACACTCGTGATCAGCTTCAAGCGCACAGGCATTAGTCCAGGCAGCCTCGTGCTGAAATTCAGGTTGCAATTGAATCGTCCCTGTAAACAAGGTTACTGTGAACGGCCCCAGATCTCCTTCCCGCAGCACCTTCAGCGCAGCCCTTCAGCTGTCTACTTAGTTCGTCCCACCTTATCTCGCAGCCCTGACATTCTAACGCTGATTCAAATTCAGGATTCAAAATGAAAGATGAAATCATCTCCAAGATCACTTAATATTGAAATACCGTTGCAGTAATAAGTGGTGCTGGGTTTGAGATAGGAACACGGCACTCCAGCTGTAACCTTTTAATTTCTGGGGGAAATAATAATAATAATAATAATAAAAACGGTATGGGATGACTGCGATACCATTAATGCAATCAATTTGTTTGCCTTATTTTGATAACGAGCACGCTGAATGCCACGTTTGCTTTCTCCTGCTCCCGGCACATCTGAACTGGAAGGTCCTGGAGAGGAACACGGGCAGCCTGCAGGGCCCCCCGGCCCCAGGGTCACTTCGGTGCCCCCCAGCAGCGGGGACGCGGCCCTACGGAGCACTTCTCCACGCTCAGCCCTGGCACACGCTCAGCGCACCATCTATAAGCTAATGTAGGTTATACCGCAAAGTGCTCCCGTCCTCACCGCGGCCGCATGCAACGTGTGCGGCACGGGAACATTCTGTGCTCGAGAACAGGGGGAAACATGTATCAGATAAGTTTTACGCTCTGTATCTCAGACAGGGCTGCTGCTACATGTTTAAAACTTCGGTGCTTTCAGGCAAAGGGCGTTCGGGTTCTCACCTCCTCCAGCTCCATCCCGCGGCCACAGCGGCACTTTGAGGCTCGGGGTCACCCCGAGCAACAGAGAGGAGCGGGGGCCGGGCCGCCTGCCCTGTGCCATTCACCTTCACTCGCACTCGGCTCCTTCCCACCGCCTCCCCCATCGCAGCCGCCTCCCACGCGCAACCCAAAGCGCCTGAACTCCACGGACGCTCCGAACGCTGCCCGGCACCGCTTCTGCCCCCCTCACAACGCAGCCCCAGGCCCGGGGCACGCAACGGCGTCCCTGCCCCCCCGCTCTCTGCCCGCACGTGTGCCCTTGCGTCCCTCCCCCCACTTCAGCCCGGCGGGGTCCGGCCAGGCCCGGCGGCTCCCGCACGGCTTCGGGACGGAGCTTTCCCGAGGGGAAGGACCCCCCCGTGTTAAAGTAGCGGTCACCCCGGGACCCCGAACTCTCACTGTGCCTCCGTCACTTCCCCGGCACTCCTGACCCTGCGAAGGGGGGGGAGGGCAGAACTGCGGGGTTAGCGGAAAGAAAAAGAAAAAAATCGCACCCCCTTCACCCCCCTCGCTAATTGCCGATGACCGGGCGGGCCGGGGGACGGCGGGTGAGTGTGCGGGGCTGGGGGCGGAGGAGGGGGGGGAGGTTGGCCGCGGCTCGCCTCCGCGCCGCCCCCGCCCCGCCGCAATGTCAGCGGGTGGAGAGGGGGCCCCGCGTTACCTGGTCAGCGCGGAGCCGCAGGCCGGCTAGTCAGGTGAGTCGTCGGGGATTTTAAAGAAGCCGAAGCCGGTTTCTTTGCTAGGAAAGTCTACAACACCATGCAGGGACATTGCAAAATCTTTACGCACGCCTCCTTTCCCCGGGCTCCCCCGACCTCCGTCGGAGAGGGGGGAGCCGCCGGCGGGCGCAGGCCGAGCGGCGCCGCTGCTGCGGGGCGGGGGGCGCGGGGGGCGGCGGCGGCGGCGGGCGCGGCCTCGGCGGGCGCGGGGGCGGCGGAAGGAGGGCGGCGGCGGCCCCGGCCCCGCGGCCCCGGCCCCGGCGGCGGCCCCGGGCCTCCCTGCCGCCTTGGTAGCGCCGGTCCGCACTCGGCCTGACCCGGGACGTCACGCCGCCTGTCTGTTTTCTCAATGATAACTTGGCAGCGGCAGGGGGAAGCGGCCGGGTTATGTATTTTATTTTATTTTATTTCCCCTGGGCTCGGTACCGGGTACGTGCGCGTTTCTCTGCATGCGTTTTTAAGCGAAACGAAGGGGGGAAAAAAAGCCGAAACAGGAAATCCGGCGCGCGGCGGGGGCTGCCGGCCGCGATGGTGGCGGGCGCGGGGGAGCAGGCATGCGTTCATCTTTTTGTCTTTCATTTTACCTTCAGGTTGACGCTGGGCGCCGGGCGAGCCGCGCTGGTCACCGCCTGGTCCCACCTGGAGGAGGGAAGCACACGCAAAAAGGAAAAAAAAAAAGAAAAAAAAAGAAAGAAAGAAAGAAAGAAAAAAAAAATCACGGAAACAGGCGGGGGGGAGGAAGGGGGATGGGAGGGGGGTGCCACCCGGATGCGGCGGATGGGACAGCGCGCCACGCGCAGAGCAGGGCACCGCCATGTCCTGCAGGGAGTGGGACGGGGGAAAAGACACCCCGTATCATGAGGGGACGCGGGGGACGTGGGGAACGCAGGCCCGTACGGGCTGCCTGTGGGCTGTTGTGTGGAGGAGGGCAGGTGCTGGGCCGAGCTGGGTGGTGGGTGACCAGTGTGTGGTGACGAGGCCTGCAGCCACCAGGTCAATCTGTGTGACTGGGTGTTTTTGAGAGCAGGGGTAGGAGTTGGCACTGGGCTTGGCTCGCTTTCCTTGGCATTTGTGCTCCTAAAAGGAAGACCATAGAATTGTTGAGATTGGAAAAGGCCATTAAGATCGTCTAGACCAACCATCAACCAATCATCACCATGCCTGCTAACCCGTGTCCCTCAGTGTAAGTATACATGGGGGCAGGGATCTTTTAGTTGTGTGCATTTCTTCCTGCACAAAGTTATTTCCAGTGCTAGGCCTTGCTTTCAGGTATCCATGTTGGCACAGACTGCTGTGCCCTTTCAGCCAAAGATAGGTCATTGCACACCAACACTTTTAATATCCCAAACTGCCAACTCACCGCAGCACCTGCACACTGACCAAAGCACTCAGTAAGGCCCGAAGTCAAGTGACCCCATCCCACACTACATTTTCTACTGTCTGTTCTGATGACAGCTTGCCGTATACGTGTAGCTAGTCCAACAGTTCACAGAGAGGCTCAAAAGCTGAAGCAGCACAGGGCTGAAACTAAATTATTGTTGCAGCTTCAATATTAGCATTAACGCTTTCATTTTCCTCATTTAAATACAACAAAAGAGAACATTGTCTTTGCTTAATATTGTTACTAATCAGGTTTTGCTTTTCCGGTTTTTTAAGAAGATGAAGCCAGGGAGAATCTAGCATGTACCTGTGCTGCTGCTGTATTTGGTACTCTGGAACAGTGCTTTATTTTGGTGGAAAAAGTCTTTGCTCTTTAACTGGGGGGAAAAATAAGTCCTCAGAATACAGTGTAGTCCAAGCACTGCTTTAAGGAGAATGAAATTGAAAAAGTACTTTTTATTTTTAACACAAGCTACTTGAGGTGATTTCTGTCTTGTCTATAAAGACAAATTTGCATAGTGTTTCTGTTTCAGAATTGTTTTGAGCGTCGCTTAGACTAAGTTTTTATTTGTCTTAAGTATATTGTCTCAACAGTGCGATGGAGAGCAAGGGTACGTTACTGATACGTTGGTTTTGGTAGACTTAGAAAGCACTTTGTGCAGCTTGATTGTTGTCTGTGTTTTGCCATTTATTTTTCAGTGAGGCTCTTCTGATTGATGTGGGGAGTTTCTTTAAAGAGATGTAAGTTATGGCATAGCTACCCAAGATGCTCTGCGCAGTTGTTCCATACCACTCCTAAGAGAGATTTTAGTTGTGATTGTTATGCTTTTAAAAGGGAATTAGTTAATCAAATTGCTGGTTTTGGAATGCATTGAAAGGAATATTGAAATGCATTAACTTCATTAAAAGTGAGCAGATAGGCAACAAAACAAGTATTAGTCAAATAAGCATTAACTTGCCTATGGAGCCAATTCAGCCCTAGTGAAATCAACACAGTTGTGCTTGTCTACAGCTTATTTTATTTGGCCTATGAAGCCACAGAGCCAACACTTCATTTGGCTGTCAAAGGTGTGTATATTAAAAACGTATGAGCCATGCTCATGTCTCCTTCATGTGATTAACCTCTGAAGTTAGTCGCCAAGTTTTCCACTTAGTTCATCTGTACAGTCCTATCACATACACAGTATTTGGTGCACGTATGCACTGGAGGTGCAGGGAGATATTCCCATCCCAACATTAGCACGGGGATGTGAGCTGTGTCTAAAGCGAGGGCATGATGAGATGTGTTGCAGCAGAGGTTGCTCACAACCAGAAGGGATCCTGTGTGTAGGTCCCAGCTAATGGGCTGCACTGAGGTCTTTGCCACCATCTTTCATTACTGCTGTTACTCACACCAGCGAGAGTAAAGGAAAGGCTGGTATGTCTATAATCACACATTCATTTGCTATGTAGATATATCTTAAGAGCCACTCAACCCAGAAAATTGTGCTGGAATGAGGTAGTGGATGGATGTAAAACAGAACCATGTGCAGGTGGCTCGTTCATTCTGGAATGACAGAGCTTCTTCCTGGTTTCACTTAATCCACTTCTAAAGTGGATTAGGAGAATTCAAAAAAGTGAAGTCTTATGCTGGCATGATATTGACTACATATGGTTTTGGTTAAGAGTAGTAATCTCTGCAGTAATTAACTGCAGTGTAGCTAATAATTGTTTTGGAATAATTTTGTGTGTAGACAAGTCCAAAATCGCACACCTGAAAACAACACACTGTACATAGCCTTTCTGTATAACGTAAAGTTAATTTAGCCCAACATTTGACCTACTTCTTTCCTTGTGAGGCATATTTAATTCATTACAGGTTTTTCTTTCTTAGCAGAAACTGTACAACAGCCATGTGCTTATGAACAATTCAAGGACAGTGCTTCCATGTGCACTCCACAAGATAAATAAACAATTTAGACAACATATAGTCTGAGTATATTCTCAGCTGTGTTGAAGCAGACAGTTGGCTCTCTACTGCAGAAAATATCAGGTTCTAAATTGTAAATATTTTGAGTAGGCTGTTAACAAAAGGAAAACAAAAGCCAAAGGTCTGTGTCCTCCTGAACCCCCATGATCTGCTTGTCCTTTGACTACATAGTGCTCAAAGCAGTAGTGTCTGAATGAAGCACCCGTTATAATTCAACAACACTAGTTCCTGCATGAGGAACCTCTCAGATTAGCACAAGATAGCTTGCAAAACAATGGGGTTTCCCGGAGGTACCTTAGGAACGGGGAGCTACTTCTTCATTTGTTTACAGAGACCTGAATCAGGAAAAGCCTACTGTAGTCTCAGGCAGTTACTCTGCTCTGAACAGATGCAGGAGGGCTCAGAATCAGCTGTGTTGCATCACTGCTGCTTCATAGGAAAGTTACTGAAATGATAATGAGAAAGGATTTTTTTTTTTTTTCCAGCTTTGTGCCAAGCAGAAAGATCTTCAAGCATTATTCTGTCTCAATCTGTACCACACACCTCCCTGCAAAGAGAGGTGACTCTGACCTGAATTACAAACTTTAACCTCAAAATAAGGGGGGGAAAGAGGAGGAAAGAAGGAAAAAAAAAAAAAAAAAAAAAGTAAGCTCAAGTAGTAAACCAAATAAATTTTAAAAAGAAACATAAATATTAAAGCTAGATGGTACAAACTACTAACCTTTAAATACTGACATGGGAAAAGCCAGTAAGAGCTATGAAAATATGAAGAATAAAACCTTACTTTTTGTAAAAGGCAGAGGTATCCAAGGATCTTTCTATGTGTAGGTGAAGTCACCCTGCTATCCCATGTATCATTCAACCATGCTGCAAACACAGTTCTCATTCTTAAGCTCCAGTTGTGATTATGAGCTTGGCTTTACTCTGCTGTGCTGGGTCTTGGCTGAAGGATACAGGAAATGGATTTCACGTATGTCTCCTTCATGCTAAGTCTGCTTATTTAAGTACAAAGCTTTCTGATAAGAAAGTAAGCATTGAATGAAGAAGATAAAAACACAGATAAACGTGATAAAAAAAACAAGCTCTTGAATCCTGTTGTAGTGTAACATTGGCCATGGGCCTAGTCTTGATAGTAAGGCTGAAAGTGGACTGAGATTGAAGGCAAGGAGGGCTTGGGGACCATGCAGGAGCATATCTAAAATCATTATTGTGTCAACAGCTGGATTAGATTGCTTTACACTGCTGCCACTAGGAGTACTCTCTAAAAGCAGGAGCCACCTGCAGTGAGAGGATGTCCAGGATCTGCCCTGCTCCTACTGGGACAGGGGACTGCTGATCCAGCAAGGAACAGGTCTGTGAAATCAAGAGGTCTCGGAGAAAACAACACAAGAGAAAAAAGAGGAAACCTCAGCACATGGCCAATGCAGAGAAATGAAGGATCCTCTCTGGGAATTGGTTAGTAGCGCTGATGTTTAATATTTGTCATAACAACCACTGACTGTTTTGTTTTTTGTTCTAACAATGTGAATTATGCATTAAACATTAATACAAGCGAGTGTACTTTTCTTTTGATCTTCAAGCATAATCATTTCTAATGAGAGTTTATACACAAGCACTGAAACAAATCCCTGAGTCATGTGAATTTACATTGGTTTTACTCTGTGTGAAAGATATCCCACATGGGTTACTCACGTCTGTTAAACATAACATACTTACAAGTCAGAAAAAAAAAAGAACTTGCGTTTGGCTTAACATAAGTGTCAGTGTAGACATTTGGTTCACGCACCAGCAGTAATGCAATATTGAAAAGTGATTTTATCAGAGATCAGAATCGGGGTGAGGTCCCCACCTAATTAACATCAGATCCAAGTCCCCGCAGAAGAAAAAAAAAATCTCTCCTGACTTCTGCAGCCTGGCTTCTAACAAGACTTGGGCCAAGTATTGGAGGAATTTGAACTAACTGTATAAAGAAGGTGGCAAAGAAGTCAGGCTTTGGCTTGCTTGATGTAGATAAAAGCTGCCCAGGTGCCATCTGCAAGTACCGATACTACATATATGCAGCAGACAAATTCTACGATGCTCAGTGGCACCTTCCTTGATGCCCTTGACAGACAATCTGCAGTGCAGGGCTGACTTCATCTGAACCAAGGCCAGAACCGTGTCTCATTTCTGCTCTTTTAAACATTAGTGACAAACTGCATTTTGTGAAAGCACAAACACTATGCAATTGCTAACAATTATTTAAAGTAAAAATGGAGTTTGAGCCGTTCCACATGCGGTGTGTGCAAAGTACATACAAGATACTAAGTGCAGGGTGGAACAGTCTGTAATGAGCCCGATCCCTCTGTATACGAGGTCTCATTACAAGATTTCTAAAATGCCTCTCCAGAACAGATCTTGAAGGCAAGGGCTGCAGAGGAAGAATGGCTGCCAAGAAGATATTATGTTTAATGGCAGCTAGACTCTATCTATGATCCAGAACATTCCTCAGGAATTCTCAAAAATCCATTAACATATTTTATTCTTAACATATGAGTGCTACAGAAGGACTGGAAGCCAGAGACCCAGGATTACCCCATGTAATATGGTGTTCTCACAGGAGGTTGCAGTTGTGCTTCCTGCTGCTCCTCTGCTTTGGCTTGAATAAGCTTAAAAGCTAATGGTGGAGTTTTGAAAGGAAGGGCAGAAGACGCCTATGCGAGGAATAGTTTACAGACTGGAAGAAGAGGGAAAATGAAACCCTTCATCCCTGAATTTGATTTCTCTAACTGCTATTTTTTATATGAAGACAGAGGGACTGATACTACTGCAGTCAAGAAGAAAGCGTCTCTGACACTCCATTATGGAAACCCAACACTGTATGAACTAAATCTTTCCTGAAATTATAGGGCTTCATATATGGGAGGCAGCTGGCGTGTTAAGTTGGAAGATGAATAAGTCAATAATGAGTCTTTAATAATTTTCACCTGAAGGACCCCAGCTCCATCTACACCCTGCTAGCAGCCCATTTTCAGAACCTAACCTTGAAAGTTCAGCAAGTTTTCTGGCTTTTCAGAATGCCCAAGTATCTCCTCAGGCACACAGAAAAAGCCTTGCTTTCAATGATGTGGGTAGAAAATGGTATACGCAATGCATAGGGAGGCCTTTCTCAGCGTGGTTCAGCATTACAAAGCCTGTCAGACCACAGGCTCCTGGGATGCCCTCACAGCCCTGGAATGCTAGCTGGAAGTGTTCCCCTGTAATTTAGCTCATTTGGAACATTAAAGATGCTCATTTCTAGGGACATAAGTGAAATGCGCTGATACTGAACACGTCCTTTGTTTTACACCTGCAGGCCTCTAGCAGCCAGCATAGAGGCTAGTGGGAAGGGCAGGACACCAGTTTTAATTTTGTTGTTTATGACAGAAAACGGTGAGAATAGCAGAAAAAGATCATATTCTACAGACTAATGCACTTATTTACACTTAGCTGCCTAACCCCAGTCAGAACCTTAAATTCTATTACTGACTACACATAAATACTGTCTTATGTTGAAGTAATTAGCTGGTCAGAGCCACACTACAAACCAAGCATACAGCCAGAGAAAGCTGACAGAGCTCTACTGAAATCAGTGGAGGCATTATACCAAATAGGGACCTTGTTTGCAACTTTTAATCAAAAAAAAAGGGGGGGAGGGGGAGAGAAGTTGCATTTGTTTCATGAAATAGTAGCCATACCATAAAGCAACAAAGTAATAAAATAAAATGTAATAAATATTTACATGGTAAGCCAAGACAGAAGCAGAAAAGCAGAACAAACATGTAAACCTTAGCAATGAAATCCTACACTCATGTTGCTGTGTATTTCAGCATCGGAACCACAGAAATTACCACTTAACTTTGGGACAGGAAGATGAGCTCATTTTCTTGCCTCTGTACTTTTGGACCCCATTAAGGCTGCAACCTTCCCATCCCCGTCATTGCTCACCTCCTGGTAACACTCCAGGGAGAGGGGCAGAAGCGACACAATAGGTGATTTTCCATGGGCGGATGTGTACATGTGAAGGGAAACAATCAAATTTTAATGACAATTTGGAGGCTCTTGAAGCTAATTTCTGGGCAGTGCAGAAATGACTGCCAGGAGCCACATGCTCTCTTCTCCTGCTGATGTAAGCAGGAATTACGGCTGTCCAAATTTTGTAGAAATAAGTCCAAAACCATCAGGTCACGCCGTAAAAGGCGCAATGAGAGAGTCCAACTGAGCTGCCCATTGCCAACGCAGAGCAATTCCTACAAAATTGCAGATGAGTGCACCAGATTACTGCTACCAAAGCCCTGTTCTCATCAGATACTTATAGCACAGTAGCACTGTTCGGGGTAAGAAGCTAATTTGGTTAGGTGCTGTATAAAGCATTTAACCAGATGAAGTTCCTGCATCCAAAGCCCTATGAGAAACCTTGCTGAGGGAGTGTAGCAAACGGGATATCCTGGGGAGAAAGCGCAGCAGTGATGGTAACAAAGGCAGCTACAGAGGGTTTTCCTCCACCCAGGGCTGATGATAATTCTGCCAAGAAGATAAGCTGTTTATTTCCTTTCTAGCTATGATACTACACTGTGTTACCGAAACACAGTTCATTAGTAGCTTACAAACAAGGTTTATAAAGCTTTATAAACCTTGTATCTAAGACAGCATGTACTGCTTGAACTCACTAAAATATATGAAAACCAATAGGGTTTTTTTGTTTGTTTTCGTAGATACCTCCTTGTAGATAATTAAATTAAAAAAGAACTAATTTTCTAAATAGCATTAGCCTTTAAGTTGCTCTGCAGTTAGGTGGCAGAGTTGCAAACACTTCTACTGAAATAAGCTCTCACAGTCCTGAGAACTGAGCTGAGCTAGACAATCACAGCCTCCAACAAGCCAGAAAAAGGATCAGTCCGTCCCCATTCACCCCTCTGCTCAGGTTGCAGCTCTGGCCACATGGAAGGGGAAAGAAACACAAGTCTAAAGGGCAGATGTGTCCACCTGGCACTGCCTAAGCACTGGGAAAGGCTTATGCAAGGCAAAGCACAGAGCAACTCACTTTGGGAACTGCCTTCCTTGCAGACACCTCTGTATCACCAGCTGCCTTCTGTGAATGAGTCTACTGCAGCACTTTGGTGAGGCAAAGTGAACAAACTGTTCACTTTCAGCACTGTGTGGGGTCTGTTAATGCCCATGCACCCAGCACAGTTCAAAGAGTGCATAAAACATCATTATTGGGCATGTTTGTGAAGCTCTCCTGGCCTGAAATACCTCCTCATTTTAATTTAGAAGAAACCTCAAGAAGACTGGTATTAGTGACTCTGATACCAAACAGCTTTTTCTCAGTGACTCTCTGTATAAGTGACTGAGAGTTTTGCTCTTTATTTTCTCTATTCAGTCATTTCATAATTTTTGTATGGCTTTTTTTTTTTCTTTTTTTTTTTGATTGTATACATGATTGTATACTGTAGTGCAACTCATCACATTAGAACAATTTTACTACTACAGAGACTGCACCACAATGTTTTGCTACCAAAACTCTGTCAAAAAATAGAGCCGCTAGTTCATGAACACCTAATCCAAGTCCTTTTGGAGCCATCTTGAGAACCTCATTGATCTGCCTGAAGCCTCTTTTGTAAGAATAATGACTCTTCAAAAGAGACTGATGTTTACTGTTGTATCAATTTCCATTAGTTAGACAACTGTAGCTCTACATTCCTACCTTTAGTGGTAGGATATCACATTCCTGTGTTATTTCTATATGCCAGCCAGAGCAGCATCCAGAAGCAGGTTGTTTCTCCTGTTCCACTTGTACACACTGCTTCTTGAAACAGCTCTTTCGGTGCAAGTCCAATGAAAGTGACTTTTCACTATTTTTCCATTACATTTCAGTTTTTTCTCTCTCAGTTGCACACTGCTGCAGAGAATGAACAATATCAGATGCTGGTTTTGCTCCCCACAGTCTCAGCACAATGAATTGCTATGCCAGACAAATTCCTTATGATTTCAGGTATTTCTGCTGTTATGCACAGAAATATAAGAGATAGCATTCAAGGAATTTTTGGGGTTCTGGGAAGACAAGTGGGTCTTCTCACTCTCATACAGATACAAGATTTATAGACATTTAATGAACAAAATGTTGCCACTAAGCAAAGGAGGGTGACAAAACTCTTGAGGAGACAGTTGGAACCAGGTTTTAGCAAGTTGTGAAGGCATCATAAGATGTGCATGATGACACTGCATATATGTAGCAGGTCTATGCTACCTGCTTTGTAGTCTCACATCAATCACTCACATATCTTTGGGATCTTGGGCTCTTCTTCCTATGTCCCTCAGTTCACATGTGTGAAAATACAGATGAAATTTACTCTTTAAATGTCAGTATTATAATCACTCACAAGTGTTTCATGTCTGTTTCACCAAAACTTTTCAAACCATAATGGCAAAATAAGCCATTCATAAGAATTGAGCATAGTTGCAGAAGATCCAAAGTGCAGTGCACAAAACAAAAATCGAAACTAAAAAAAGACAAGTTTTAAATATTTTAT